GAGCTGGCTGTGCAACACGCGCCATCGCTGCACTTCAATTTCTGACCCTTGCAAGATACTATTTTGCAATGAGGGCACGCTTGTTCAAGGCTATCCCTTTTGCATTGTTTGTCCTGTAGGGAAGCGCGTGATAAAGGGAACATCACAATTTAAAGACACGCCAGGCATTTGTTGCAAGAGCTTCACGGCAACTTGCATATATGCAGTCCAGATAGGGTTGTATGGCACGGTGCGGCTTCCGTATTGTAGATATATATATATATATATCACTGAACGTCTAGAAGTTAGGTGGAACAGCTGTTGCGCTGGTTTCCCTGAATATTTCAAGTAAACCAACCAACATACATGGTACATTGGATAAGTGTCCTTTTCCCCTAGTTGCTTGTGCAACCACGGGGTGCTAGTTGCTCAGAAGTCTGGTTTTTCCAGAATGAAGTCAGAAATTTATGTCTGTGCTTTGTGTTTTTCTTTTTCTTCTTTTTTAGCGAAGGTTCCCCCGAACCTTCTTGTTAGCAACAGGATATCAATGCTGTTAGCTTCGCGCGGGTTGGCCTCGAGCAATTCGTTTTCGCTCGCAGGGCTCCAGGCCAAACACTCCCAAGCGGCAGGACGGGTCCCGATGCTTTGCTCAACACGAGGCCAAATGGATCGATTGCCAAGCGCTTACCCTCCCACGAACATTCCCCTGACATCAGCCAAGTTTTGCCCTTGCAAATACTTCTGGGTTTGCTTCCTAGTCTCTTTTGACTAGCCAAATGTTGTCACTTTTTGCAGTCGAATCGGCTCGTCTGCCTCAGGAACAATGGTTGTGTGATTGTTTTTCTGGAGGGTTAGAACCGGCTTGTTGTGTCTCACCTACAGGGCATGGCATGTTTCAACTGCTCCACAGGTTAGAGAGTAGATGTCATGCACGGCAAACTTGTGGCACATGGCATGCATTTGTCGAAGTTGTCGCACTCAGCGCCTGAAGGACCTAATTCTGACGATTCTGCAAGCCTTTTCTATGAACTGGGGAGATCAGCATTGTCCAGACATATTTTCAACCGGAAGAAATGTATGGCTGTGCGTCAAATTGAGGGACCCCATAAAATCTCGGTTTTCCTTTTGGCGTCCCTTTCAACCAACCTGAAAAGGGCACCTTCAACAAATGCACACCCCCATGTGGGACGAAATTCAGTCCTGCCAAGTTTCGAATTCACAAGTAGGTGTTGAAGGTCGTGGCCCAAGTCGACTCAAGTGTTCCGCTTTTACCCATCCCCACCCCCTACATGAGCAACAGACCATACTACCAGGGTATCGGTTTTGGGTGGTCTATGTGGGCCCCGATGGCTGTACGGATCTGTGTTGTTGCATGGCCCCATTCCGATCCATATTTGTCATCTGGTGGCTTTCATGCAATGTATGAAATCGGGGCGCATAAATTTAAAGACCCCACGCTTTTCTCTCAGCGCCTGGGGGGCATGTGCCGACAGGGAGCCCAGCGCCAGGAGTTGCGGGCTCGCAGGACGCAGGCACACAGCACGCCAAAGCTGGCTGGGTAGGACCTGATCTTGCCAGAGAAATGGGGGCAACAAACAGGAACAGAAATCAGCACGACGGTTGGAACCAGGGGGGTGATGAGTAAATCAACATGGAAACCTAAAGCAAAATGGGGGTCAGACTGGGGCCTGCCTAAGTAGTCTTCCAATAAGTACTGATTAGAATTGACTTAGTAATTTAAGTTTAATAACGGTTTAGGTTTAGTATTCCTTCAAGGCAGAGCCTTCCTTTGTCAGGTGGGCCTGGCTGCAAAGCTTTTTCTCTATTTTTTACCCTCCTGGAAGTTTCCTGTACTACTCCCTTGAAGAGTTGGCTGGGTGGCAAGTTTAGTAAAGAGTGTCACAAAGAGCGTGGGGTATGCATCAGGTTGGATGCAACAAACTCAAAAATTGCCCACCTGGAGAAAATTCCTGATGTTTGTGTATTTCCTACCCTGATTGTTTTTCAGGTGGGGGGAAATATTCGGATTGTCTTGGTGTATGGACTCAGAACGCACTCCCTTTTGATGAATCGCAACCAACATGATCAAGCAGCATAGGCTTCCTTTTTGCTCAGTTTGGCTGAAAATAGATTCCACTAGTTTCCGATTGTCCCTGATGATTTACCAGTGCCATCTAGTTGTCCAACAAGACACCTAGGTCAAGCAGCGCGTTCCTCGTTTTGCTTGTTGCTTCTTTGTCGTATGTTGTGCTTTTTTTTTTTTAAGGAGTTGTCGCTTCAGTAGAAATGAAAGGGACCCCACCTATCTTTGGTTCCCCCCCTCCGTTGTGCTCCCAGTTGGAAGCTATGGTTGTATCAGTTTGGGGGTCAACTGCCTTCATTGGAAGTGAGATGGGTTATGCCAGGCGTGGACGTGGGTTCACTTTCTTTCCTGTAGCTGGGCACTTGCCCATTGGCAGTCTACCCTCAACTGGTGGATTGGATTGGTTGGGGATTCGAGCCCTGGGTCTTGTGTACCCAGCACCAAACAGCTTGAGGGAAGCTGACATTGTCTGGGTCCAGGCAAAGCAGGAAGTGGAGGAGGAGGAGGAAGAAGTAGAGTTGGAATCCTGGACGCCTTTGAACTCCGAAGACAGCTGCTGAGCACAAACTCAGTATATGTAGAGTTGGAGGAAGGTAGACGACACAGTTTTCCCGTTTTGGTATTGTCAGTTTACTCACCCACCCTACTTGCCACATGAAGGGAGTTGTACCATATGCTTTCAGATGTACGTGCTTTCTTTCGAGGCTGGGCTTTAGTGGTTGGATTCAGGGGAAACCAAAAGAAAAAGAACCAGTCACCTCATTGTGGCAAGCACACAAATGACGCAACTACCCAGCACTTCCCTAAGGAGGAGACAGCCAAATGCGATGTTCAGGACCCAATCGGTGCAGCGCAACAAGCAACGCGCCGATCCAGCCGATCAGTTATTTGGAGTCTCTTCGAAACTCCTGCGGGTGTATTGGGGATTGCCCCAACTAAAGCACAGTACGTCTCGTGCTTTGGCCATGTTCCACGGTCGGTTTTTGGTTTGCCGACCTCAGTTGATTGAGGCTACAACGAAGACGAGGTGATTGACGCCTACACCTATGATGCTGAGAATGTTGAAAATGGAGCAGTCTGATATGCCAGGCCGAGGGCTCCTGAAAGGCCTTGGCCATTGAAACCAGTACATTGCCATTGCCCGTGGTCAATGGCGCCCTTTCCCCAATGGTCACTAGGTTGCAAATGGCTCCCTTTTGCAGACTTGGAGTCAAGCCCATTGGTAAGTCATCGGCCATCGCCTTTCGGAGCTGGTTTCACCAATGAACATACACCTCGGATTGGTGCACAAGCCGATGCTTAACTACGGGTTTCCACGCCAAAACCAGGGGAAGATGGGGAGGAATAGTGGGCAATTTCTATTTTAGATGCCAAAGGTCTCGACACGCTGGATTCCAGTTTGCCTCTCAGTCCAGTTGCTGGGAACTCCTCCAAATCGCCATGGATTCGCTGGCCTTACCCCAAGATGATCCAAGATGGGTGGGTGTCGCATTTTCTTGGAAACCCTTCACATCTTTGAAGTGAAACGTGCCCCAAAAAGCGTTGGAACAGTTCGATGCCGTGGGCCCCCCCTTTCAAGTGACTCTGCAGCCCGTTGTTTCAGTTGAGTTTGCGTGTCTTAGGCCTCTTGCCAACCTGAGCCCAATGTTGGTTACGCATAAAATGTGCTCAGATGCTAGTCCACATTTGGAAGACCAAGGTATCCTGTGAATTCTAAAATTTGAACCAACTTTCATGTCGAAGCCCGTGGCATGTGCGTCTAGCCAGCTCACCCGCCTGGGTGCAAAATGAAGTCCAGGAGAAAGGTCCCTTGAAGGATTCCTTTTCCTGGTGATAGCAAGTAGATGTAATTAGTGCAGGCGTGTCACTTCCGTTTTTTTGTGTCCGAGACACAGTTTAGCTGCTGTGGACGAGGTCAGCGTGGACTTGCCCACGTCGAAGATGCTCACACCGCATTCAAGTAGAACTTGGCGGATTCAGAGGGTTCCTCCAAAGAAGTGAAAAACCCCCCTGCAAGCATGAGACACGCCCTGGAATACATGACTCCGCTCATGTAGAAGTTTCCTTCCAGAAGCTTGGAATGGGCAAGCTATCAGCTTCTGAAACGGCATGTCATAGGTGCACCTGGGCGCTGATGTGAAAACTGTGAAAGGAAATGTACGGGTGTGGCATTGCGTTTGCGCCAGCCCTCTACTCCATGCTGGGCACCTCAGCAGGGTGACAACAGAGTTACTGACTACTGCAAATGCATGTTTGCAGTTCTCGAGGTGCAAAGTATAGTGCTTCTTTGGGAAGGTTTTGCTGGCAGATGATGTGCTCTTTCCTACGGCCGTTGCTTTCCTGAAGCTTGCACGTGGTTGGCTGTTGGCTGTTTGGACGGCTGCCTGGCTGGTGGGTGGGTGGGCGGGGCGACACTGCCTCAACACCAACCCCAAACCAACAAGTCCTGCCACAAGTCCCAACCAAAAGTCCTGCCCAACAGCAGCCCCGACATCAGCTGTGTTTGCCAGGCCTGAATGATCACACACAAACCTAAAACCCGGAGGAAAACCTGCATCAGCCTCTCGCACCGCTCAACAGTGACATGCAAATATTTTTCATTCAAGCCCAATGTTGCAGATTAACGCCAAACTGGTCTCAATGAGGACGCTGGGCAACCACTTCCAGGCTCAGGATTACAAGCTCTGATTGGTTGGGTTGCAATCCCCCGTGGGTGGGTTCGAAATTCACCCTTGGCGTTGAACCGCAACCAATGGCTTCTGGGCCAAGGGCCTGTATTTGTGTGGTTCTGTGCTTTCTTTAGTTGGTTTGGCGGTTGTTTGGTCGTTCGTTTGTTTCCTTTCGTTAGTTTGGCTGTTGGGCATGTGGCAATGCCCACTGGCCAGCCCGAATTGTTTGCTGCTGCCCCACTTAACTCTGCCGTGTGCCCGTACCGCAGGACTCCAAGGGGGCGGAGCTGCACGTGGCAGACCAGGCAATGTGCATCCATGCTGCGTGGGTTTTAGGAAAAGAGATTTGTTTGCCCGTCTATTAAGGGTACCCGGCTCAGATTGGTGTAAAGCAACCCCAAAGGAAAGACACAATTGCTCCCCATTTTGGCACATGCCACATTGTGAGTTGCATGAGAAGGCGTAAACACACAACAGTGTGTGCAACAGAAACATTGTGCGCATCACAATGTGAGGTTCGGTCAACATGACCAGTAGTCTATGGTTCATTCGCGAAGGCCAAGGCGGAACTCACTGTTTTTCAACCACAAAATCCAGCGTCCTCTTAGGAAAACAAGAACTGTTGGCTGTGGTTCACATTTGTGGTTAGGCTGGACTTGGATATTTTCGGCGAACATGAGTTTAATATTATGATCGTGGTGAATCCACATTGTGGAGGTTTGTGGTGGAAGGATGCTACAAATTGGAAATTAGGACGAAGTTCAGCAAAATTGCATTTTACAGTAGGGAGTGGCATGCAGACGAGCTTATCCGGAGGTAGCGAAAGCCCAAGAAGGTTTCTCGACAGTGCGAGCTTCCGTGGAACCCACCAGTAAATTGAAACTGTTGAAAGGGAAATGCAGTGGGCCCTGTTCTGGTTTGCTAGGGGTCAACCCACCCAGATGTGTGCTTTCTAGTAAATTGGCCAGAAGAGATTCCTGTCTGGTTGGCTCCTGTGAATCTTTCCTCCTGAAGAATCCCCATGTTTGGCAAGCCGGAGACCTGGCGTTTGGTGGCACATCGCAATGGAATTCGAATGCGTAACCTGACGAGATCCCCACCTGTCCCGCTGCAGGGGAGGGGGATCCATCAAAGTGGTTGCATTTTGAGGGGTTCTGAACATTCAGTGGTTTCCCTCTGAAGAGTGAATTTAGATGATACTTTTGAGGTTCTCACAATAGATCCGAGGGCTTCGGCCTTTCGAACACTAATGTGTGTCTTTGTTTTTGTTTTCCCGGGGGCCCGGAGAGGTCCACAAGTTCGCCTACAATGCCGAGCGCGGGGCGGCCAAAGATTGTGCGCGAATCTTTTTGGGTACCCGATGTTTCGAGCATGTGCTTGATATGCACTTTGCAAGGAATCAGCAGGCTAGTATTTGGAGCGGGGATTCCCCGCTTTTGGGAGTTGTTATTGTTATGTTTGGATGATGCTTATTTCTCACTTGCCATCATGTCGTGTGGCGCCATGTGGGGGCTTGCGTTGTAACCTCAGGGGTTGTGAGCTACTGCTCTGTACTGCAGATCAGCATGCATCAAGCAAGATATTGCTCTCAACATGAATGGCTTGGCGGAGGTGTAATTCTGCTTTTGCTCAACATGCCTCCTAGCCATCGAGGTCGCTACCGCCGCGCTTTGAAGTGGATTGAGATGGACCGGGCTTGGAGCTTGGTGCCAATAGGTTCCTTTTGGCATGTCATGGGGCTCGAGTCAACGGCCCACAGCAAGTGAGGTAAGGAAGAGTTCTCCGGGGACCCGTTGCACGGGTTCTACCAAATGGGTCCCAGCTTGAAAGGACAATCATGTGTATAGCATCCGAAAGGACCCCATTTGTAAAAGCCATTTCAAAGTTCTTGTGATTTGGCCGGCTTTCCCGCACCACTGTCATGATGTCTCTTTGGGGGCCGCGTGGCCATGGGAGGTTTGGGGAGTGAATTTGTTCGCTAAAAAAAAACTAGACCATCATGGACGCCAGATAGCCAAAAACCTGCCAATGATGGCACACCTCCAACTTTACTCGAAGAGCGGCCCAAAAAGCCGGCTGTCAATGCAAAAATGCGCCCGCGCCTCACTGGCATTCCAAAACAGCACCCCAAACTGCTCGCCCCCTAGCACCAGCCGATCAATCTCGCAAATCACGTTACCCTCTTTGGAAGGTTCGAACCCCTATAGCTTTAAGCTATCTGGCGAATTTATAATATACATATATATATATATACACACACGCCTGATGATCATGCCGACTGAAGCTGTTTCGCCAACAAACTTGGTTGAAAGTGCATTTCTCATCCAATCTCTTGCGCAAATCATGGGCGATTAGGCATCGCCCAACAGGGAACTCCCTGTTTGTTGGCATGAACGTCATGCTACACATTTTCTGCGGTCCCGGTCCATTCCGTTCTTCAGTTTCGATGGGGTTGCTGTAGTTGACTCGTGGCAGGGGCCTTCCAATGCTCTGCGTGGGGTCCAATGCATATTTCAAGTTCGGGGGCATGTACACTTGGGACGCAGCTGGAGGGCTGGAGGTCCATGCTTCTATTAAAAGGGGCGATTGCCCGAGGATTTAGAACATGTTATCTTGGACGGATTCCTCGGATTAGTATTGCTTATCTTCTGGCAAGCGCATCTGCAGGTAATACAAGCTTACCAGGAAGCTTGGACCAGGCTACCATCCTTACTTGGACCTCTTGCTCTTAGTTCTTTGCTTGGGGCGTCAAAATCGGAAGTCGACGTGGATGTGCATGTGTTCAGGGAATTTAGATGGAAGGCCGCAGGAATCCAACGCCAACCATTATTCGATTCGCAGGACAAAAAGGAGGACCGGAAGCTCCAGCTAGAGCAGGCCACGCTGAGGCCGGGAGCGATTCATTCATCCGCATGGATCGCATTTTGGTGATCCCCATAAAGAGTTCCCTGCAATTCCCTCTTTGCTGGCTGTAAACATCACCTTTGCGGGTTGATGTTTAAAGGTGAAATGTTGGGAACCCTGTTCCAGCACCCTACGACATATGTTTCGCGCGTCCAAAACCCTAAGTGCTGTCCAACAATGAATCGTTGCCGGCGGTGCTGTCTGCAGATTTTGCCCTTTGAATTTGTCCCAAAATAACAAACCCCTCAAACATTTCTTGGACGACAGCAATCCCAATGTAGCTACCTGGCTTCATGCCATTAGAGTCCTCGTGCCCCTGGAGCAAGCATCCGGGGGGGGGGGGGGCACTTGTTGTGATGCCCTTGCGGGTTCCCCGGCAAAGTGACAAAGTTCTCGCGGATGGGCGAAATCCGGCACAAGTCAGTAGATGGTTTACCCCTGGGTATCGCCAGGTTTCGTTTCCGGCTTTTACACACCAACCGCCACACTTAGGGAGCCCCCGTCAAAGTGACAAACCATGACAAACCAGGAATTAGGTAGATCTTTGGCACCGAACTCGGGCGGGTTTTCCAACAACCACCCGGATGCCAGGATGCGCTTAGCGAAGGCCATGTCTTTGCGGCACATGCGCTTCGGCGAAAACCCGGAGCCCGCCACGGACGATGAGAAGGCTAGATGAGTCAATGGGGGGCTGTAAGTCCCAAGAAGGGATTTCCTTTATTGAGATGTTCTTTGCCTGAGGCCTGTCCAACAAAATGAGTATGTAAGAGTCCAAAACAGGGGCCCCTACAAATGATGGTTTCCTTTTGGTGCCCCTTGAAGCCAAGCTGAACAGGGTACCCTCAACAAAACGACACACGCACACACACATTAGCATGCCCCCATGGATCTGCCTGTTTCAAAGCAAGCTCCCCTGGCAAGAGGCGCCATAATCTTGTTGGGTTTTGGAACTACAAAAAATGACAGCATCGTGTAACATGCACCTTCTTGCCAGTTGGGAATGCGAGCCAGTTTCAGATCTCAAGGCGTAAGAATCTGCCGAGTCCGCCGGGCGGGTATCGATGCAAGCTATCCGGACAGTGTCCGAATGAACTTTTTGAGCCTCAGCTACCACTATATACCTCTCCGAGCGGTACACTGGTATGCTTCATGAGCCTTAGGAGTGCATGCTTCATGAGACACACAATCCATGGTTTGTACGTCTCCAAATGGAGGAACCCCTTTACCCGGAGCTGGCTTCCTCCAGCCCAGGCTTGAAGTCTACCGGAGCAATTAAAAATGGTTGCCCTGGTTGAGACTGAGGGCTTGCCCTGCACATTGTGAATTGTACTGGTTCTGCTCCCGGGTAAATGGGTATGTCTTGAAATGGGGAGGTTTCCCTTGTTAATTGCAGTGGCTTGCCCAGATATCATCTCTCCTTAAATGGAATTTGGGGCGGGGGGGCACATGAACCACCTTCTTCCTGTAGAGCTTCAGCCTTGCTAAACTTGGATTCGCATCTTTGGTTCGGTTCCACGGGAGGGGCTTCTCAACTCGCTGCTCAGAAAGGACGCACCCAGGAACCATCCCTCAGGATGAGGTCGACCCCTTCACCAACCATGAACAACCGGATATGTCCGTCAAAGAAGCCCTCTTGAATGGGACACTGCTATATCAAGTTCACAAATGGGCGGGGAGGCCATCAATGGCCATATCTCACGTATGGCCAGGCTGCGCTGAAGGAGTCCCAGGACTTGCTGGCTGAGGTCCTTCAAGTGAGCGAGGCGATCGTTTGGGTCGATGCGATCCGGTCGCCAGCTTTGGGTTCATCAGGGTTCCCTGTAGTCCTCTGGGTGGCTTTAAAATGCTTGGACCAGCACTTGTTCGGCCAGATTGGCATGCGCTTCCTTTTGGCGGGGTGATGTTAAAGGGGAAATATAGGGAATTCTGCTCGCCTAAAAAATCCAAGGGTTCCACACAGGGCGAAATGGGCCACTAGTTGTTTTCTGCTTGTGGTCTTGTTTTTCTACAGGTTGTAGTTCCCCGTCTTCGCTGGGCGTGAAATGGCCAAATAGTTACAGCAGAGTATTGCCAAAAGATGCCAAAGTGGGGATGATGGGTAGTTTAGCACCCCTGCAAAGAGAGTAGGCTCCCTCCCACCCCTACCTCAACATTGCTAGTTGCATCTAGTTGCCGCAATTGTTGTGAAATGCGACGTGTGTCTCAGTCCCTGAGTTCCCGGACTTGCTGCTTTTTGGGACCAATTTGAGTGGCAGAGTGCCAGTTTGGTGTTTCGGGCGATCAGAAGTAAGGTGCCCTGTGCTGAACCAATTGGCTCGGCCTGCCAGGCTCTCAACAACGCCTCCATCAGATACGAATGCATGAAGATGAACCTGCAGGCAGTCGAATGCCAGCGGTCGCAAAGCTGAAAATGGTTGCCCTGGGTTTGTAACCAGGGACCTTTCCCTGGAAAGGAATCACCAACAGAAAGCACCCCCGAATCAGTAAGTGATTCGGTTTGAGGAAAGCCTTCCGCATCAAGAAGTTGACATTCTCCACCTGGTGTGTCGTTTGTCAGGGTACCCCTTTTTGGTGGCTTTAACTAAGTTACAAGAAAACAATTTTAGGGTCCCAGACAAAGACTCCCCCACCTTACATGGAGCTTCCGTTCGACCTGGAAGTGGGGTGAGGCCAAGAAAGCCCACCGGATCCATGCCGCGCCGCTCCAACTGGTTGCAGAGAGGTTTGTTCCAAACGGGTTCCACGTTCCATTTTGAGGAGTTCTCAAGACTACATTGAAGTCCCAGTTGCCTCTTGAGCCGCAAACAAAACAGACATCACTACGGACCCAGCTCAAAGATCCTTGTCTCAATCAGTTTGTGCGCAATTTCTGGGCTGGGTGCTAAATCGCCCTGGGAGCTCTATCTTGGTCCCTGTGGTTCCCCTCAAACCACCATTCAGAGGAAATGTCCAACATTTGGGCGTGTCTTGTTCTTAGGGGGCTTCGGTCTTCCTTTTGGTTTCCCATCAACAACCCTAAGCAAGGGTACCCTGAACAGAAGACGAGCCACCCATTTGGACTTTCCCTCGAGCCCTTGTTGCCCCAGGCAACATACCCCACCCTCCAAAAGTAATCTGAAAGCATCCCCAGTTCCTGGGATGCGGCGTCGTCCAGTCACTTCCGGGTCGGGGCAGGTCGTTGAGTAAAGGACCGACCACCGAGCTGCAACTTTGTTTTTGCTCAAAAAGGTGGCGACTGATGGCAGGGGGACCCCTCATATGTAAGACTGGAAGAGTGGTCAGTGGCAAAAGTCACAAGTTTAGATTTAGCTGTTTTCATCAAGCATATTCTAGCATTGAACGCCCAGGGGGTTCGGAAAGTAATGTTGTTGTTTTTTGTTGGGGGGGACCCTTGTTAGGGAGAACGCATATGAGCACTCAGTTTGGTTGGGTACCGACCGTTCTTTTCTCTCCAGGTCTGCATCCAGGCCGAGAATGTGACAGAGGCTAGAAAGGTCCTCACTCAGCTGCAGGAGATGTGCCGACACCGCGTCGACCGTGCTGAGGGCCCCTCAAACCTTGACTGCAAATTTGTTGGATCTTTCAATCTTTCGTGTTTAGCTGCCACTTTTGTTTTTGTGCTAACCAACAACAAGTCAAGCTTTGTGGCACTGTGCCACCCAGACACAGTGGTCTAGGATGCAGATTGCCATCTGTCTCAAAATGGGAAGATTATTTTTGGACCATTTCAGGGAAGCCAAAAGGAAACTCCACCAATCAGAGATCCCCTTTGAGTTAACACCTTTGTGTCCTTGTAGGATCTCCAAATCAGGGCAGCAAACCGTTGGATACAATGCACACCAGTGGATTTAGAGGATCCGAATCCCTCTAAAGCAGGTTGTTTTCGAATGTATTCTCTGAGGAAGCCATGTACAGACGTTGTGCGATCGATGCGTGGTTGCTGCAATATGTTGCTTCTATCCAGATGTGAGTTAGCGCTTGGTCTGCGCTAGCAACCAACTAGGTAGGTAGTACGGATCATTCTTTTCTGGGAGGAACTGGGAGGAACGGGAAGATGCTGACACTTGTGCAAATCCTTCCCATTCGGAACCACTATGTGGGCAAGTGTTTTTAGGGGTACCTTTTTCACTTTGTGGTGCAAACAAGAGAAACCCACATTGTTGTCGGGCCACCGTTTTTTGCAACGCACATCCAAGATTCTGCACAAGCAAGCTGATTTCTGTGTCTTGATGTTGAGCAACTCCTCCAGTGATCCGGCTCCTCTGCAGAATGGGACGCCCCTTTTTAAATCAACCATGGGTTGATTGAGTCTAGGTTCCCTGTGGCAAGTCTGGATGAAACGTCCTGCCATGCTGGCCAACGAGATGATCCGCTTTCCTTGGTTAAACATAAGCATCGGTGCCTTTGGCCAATGATGAGTCGAGCCTTTAAAAGGCGAAACTTTGGTTGCAAACAATAAATAGTGCCCTCGAACAAATAGGGACATGCACAGGTGTTGATTCAGGTCCTTTGGACAAGAACAGCAACGTGCTCGATGCACAGGAGGATCGACCAGATGACGAAGACCTGAAGAGTGACAACGCCAGGCCTGAGCAAATCTCAGGAGGCAAGTGATGTTGGGCCTGTGCATGTTCACTCTTGGTGTAGGTGTGCGTATGTGTGAGTGGGTGAGTGTGGGGGCTTGTGGGCGGGCGGGCGGATGGGTGGGTGGAGTGTGGGGTCTGGGGTGGGTGGATGTGAACTTCATGAGCCACCACTTACTCCCCGCAATTGAACGTGTCTAACAGACACACAATCAACTTGTTCATGTTCCATGTTAAGTGCGAGGGTTCTTTCTGACGGGTCTCCGCGGTGATTTTGAGGGGCGGTTTTTGATGAGGGTGGGACCTAGGATTGTCGCTATCGTTCAACCCGAGCCACATGCCACGGCTGACAAGTTCTTGACGCTTGCAATTGTGAAGCTTTTCTGAGGCCGAGTTCCATGTAATGTTAATGATGTTTTCCCAACATCGGCTGTTTCTAAAAGATTGACAGCACAGGTGTCACGTTATTTTTTGGACTATTTGGTTTTTCAGGTATTATCAGCCGATTTGGATCAGTCCACCCCTCTTCAAAATTTAATTGTGTGTGTGAGTTGTTTTGAACTGCTGCTAAACTTGTGGTTTGAAATCCTCTCTTGTTTTGCCAAAAGGTTGGAGCATGCATGCATGAATCAATCATTTTGCTGGCCTGCATCATTTGCTGAAGTTTGCCATTCAATCGCAAGATTCTGACTCGTGCTTCCGCAGGGAGTCGTAACGCTCAAACAAAGTATGGGTGTTTGTTTCAACCCACCCACCGTCCGTCCTCACCCCCCTCCCCTCCTGCCAATCTGTCCCAACCACTCAGCAAGCATGGGAGCCACGGATTACCACAGACTCCCACAAAGGGCAAGCCGATTTTGCAAGCAGGCAAGGTCACTTTCGGCTGAGGTTGGAGTCTTGAACTGCTGGGTCAGTGTGGGTCACTGGGCTTTTGGCAGACGCAGCTTTTGGCGAAGCGCAGCGTTTGTGCTCAGAGGGCAGTCGCTAGCCTTGCAGTTGCCTCAGCCAGATCGATGGCTATGGCAATGGAGAAGGCGGGGTCAAGGCTCCACTGGTTTCAATGCGATCAGCCCCACGGGACCCCAATTAAGCGTCAACTGTCTCTTGGCATGGGGCAAGGTTTGGGGCATTCTGAGTTTGGGGTGCCCCCGCCCGCTGCAGACTAGCAAACCAACAACAGAAGGCAGGGTCCGCAAGGAGATTCGATCAAAAAGGTGGCTTTTGTTGGCTTCCAGACCTGGGGATTTAGATTGGGTCAGGGGTCCCAACTGGTTAGTTTTGTTTCGTGCCTCCAGAGAACTTTCCCGCAATCCTCCAAGCTTTGAATGCGAGGTCACCATTACTGCTGAAATCCCTTCATTCCTACGTGGCTAGATCGGAGCGGTGAACGCCTATTTTACGGTGAGCTCGCGGATCTGGGGATAAAACGATCACACCATGTAATATGTAGGTCCGGTCCTTGACCTTTGTGGTCCAATTCTTATTTCAGGTGATGAAAGTATTGTAGACTTTGTAGATGTTTGCTTGCTTTGAGATAAGATAAACTGACAAATGAATGGCCGGTGTCCTTTTGGTTCCCCCAAAACTGCCAAACACCCATGTTTGATTACCCCCGCGGCTAGTCTCCCGAAGAGTTTGATAGGAAAGCAATCGGGTTTTGTCGTTCTGAAATGGGACGCCTGGTTCCGAAGCCTGCTGATTTCGCTTGAAACCAACATAGGGGGCTCTCTAAGCAAGAACCACCGCAAGATTGAGTCTTTCCCTCTGGACTCCCTACGCCCAAATCAGCCTTCCCTTCAAGAAACCTGCCAGGAACCAGGATTAGAATTCCCAAACCACCAATCCAAACCACAAATTGGACCACCAATTAGACAATTAGGGGCTCTGCGGAAGCGCCAGGTGCCAACAGGGCCGTCAGTCTGCCTGTCAGCTGACAGCAACGCGGCAGATGAGTCTCTGGAAGGGTCGCCTTCAAATCACTTATTCTGAGCTTGCGTTTGGAGTGTGGGTTCTGTTTTTGGTCTCCCGTCAAAACTATCCATCCCAAAACGACACCCAGTTGCTGGCTTCCAGTCAAAAGCGGGGGCGGGAAGTCGTATGTCGGAGGCCCATCCATCAACAGCCACCCTTTTTCTCGTTGGAAGATCATGCCCCAAGCATGCGGGTGTTTGACTGATCACTATCCACTGGTGCTTGACAGCTGATCAATGAGCTTTGGATAACAGTGCTCTATCAAGTCATTCTCAGCCGGCCGGGCACTGTCAAGGCTGCAAATCTGGGTGGTTTTGCTCAAATGTTTGAAGCTCTCAACTTTCTCTGGTGCTATGAGCACGGTGAAGCCAGGGATTTAATGGACATGTTGGTTTGTGTGATTTAGAGGGTCCCCTTTGCAGGTTGGTTTAAAGGAAGCGAAATGGAAGCAACAACTTGATTGGTCCAGGTCCTTATTTTTGATATGCCCATTTTGCCTGAGTTCGGGAACCCGGAAAGCCCCAGGCACATGCGAAGGCCCAAGCTCAGAGGAGGAGAATGTCAAGCTTCCTCAGCAGTCTGTTGGAGCAGTGCTGCATGGCACAGGCTGCACGGGGGGGAAGGGGGGTTGAGTACCCTGAAATCTACTGGCCGCTGTCAACCTGAGCACTGAGGGAGGTGAGCGGGGTGCCGTCGTATGCTCGTGTCTACACGTGTCCTGTTTGGAGGGCACCACTTTTTGGGGTGGCTGAACGTGATGTGGGAAACCACCCGGTTTCTGGGTTCCCGGTTTCTGTTTTGAGACGACTTGCGAACTTAAATCGTATGCAAGGGCGCACGGACGATCATGCAAATCCTGAAGATTAAATGCGTGTGTGGCCGAGGGTCCTCTTTCACCATGGTGGAAAGGTGTTTTTTCGGGGTTCTCTTTTTCGACTAATGAATTGGGGGACCGGAACCTTGAGATCTCCATTGGTGAGTTATCCCTGGTGGGAAGACTTGAACATTTTTTCGGGCACGCTTTTTGTTGAGTGGGAACCTTGCCAGCGGTCCACCGTGGAAATGTATGCGTGTGTGTGTGTGTGTCACGTTGAAATAGGAACATGGACACCCCAAAGATGGAGCGGTTTTCCTTCTGGCTTTCCTTGAACCCCCCGAATTCCCCTGAGAATCACCTTGCAAAGGGTGCCAAGGGGCACCTGCACCCTCAACCTTCCCTAAGAAAATGGAAATCACCGAGGCACAAGTTTAAGTTGATACTTCGAAACTGCAACCACGTACCAAACGAGTTGTTCCCTCGGTTTCCTCGAACGCCACCCCCAACAAGAGGGCAACAACCCTCACCCGCCAGGCGAGTGCAGGCCATGCGCCTGGTTCTGGAAGCCGCAAGGCTGCCGCCAAAGCCTCAGCTGAAGGCGATTCCCATTGAATCGGCCAGCTGAGTCCACGCAGCCCCTAGTTGCCAGCTGGGGCCATTGAACAAACCACCCAAATACCAGGTGCAGAGGCTCCACCAAGCCAGTATGAAGCACCCGTCGTTTGAAGGAGGAAGTGGATGCCCGGATTTTGTTGGGGGGAATTTGCGATGTTTTTGCCTCATTGACTTGCTGCGTTTTTGATCCAGTCATCGGCAGCATGTTGCCAGCAGCTTCAACGATTCAACGCCTGCGGCACAACGCATCGGACGCCAGAACTGCTGGGGGGGAGGCAACATACAGGAATTCACATCACATCTCAAATCAGTCAAGCAAGTGTGGCTGATCCAGCAGGTTGACGCGTGGTCACCAGGGACGGGCTGGCTCGGGCTGGCCAGTTAAAGTAAATAGGGGCAGTGCAGTGGAAAAGACGGCTTTTGGCCCGGACTTTGCTTTTGGCCCAGGACTTGGTCACAAGGCAGCAACTCTGGTTCAGCAGGCTTCAAGCTTGCGCATGTTTGCGCGCTGTTGCAGCAGGGCCCCATCCCCCGGCTCCAATTCAATTGACGAATTGTCAGGTTTCCTTGACATTTTGGGCTCAAACAATTTTAGAACTGGTTCCCACCAGTCAACTCAACAGGACATGTCAGGAAGGCAATTTGTCTATGTATCGGCGAACTCAATCGAAGGCAAAACCAGCTCACCGAGGTGTAGGCTCCTTACTTCGGGACCCGTATATCCGGTTTGCGAATAATTTAGACCCCGCTCTATCAGAGGGGTGGTAGTCATGATGAGATAGGGCGCTTCGTGATGAAATGGGGTGCTTGATGTACCAATATTTGAGGATCCAGGAAGCTTGATGACCCTTTGGGCGTGTGGGGTGGGTATGGCGAAGGGGGGGGGATGCTTGCCGAGGTTTGAAAAACACATCAGGTGGATTCCGGCTTTGACATGTGCAACCATGCAGATGCAATTCTTCGTGACCTGGTGAACAGGTGCCCGAGATATTGCCTAAAGCAAAAATTGGGTCTACAACAACAGGCACAGGAATGTAGCAAGCAAAAGCAGGGTCGTTCCGTTGGCCGTTTCTAAAGGATGACCAAACCACAAGAGGTAGAACATTGGTAAATGGGCTCGTGCTGGTGCTAAATAGCCCATAGTTCTAAATTCCCAAAGGCACCAAAGGGGATGAGCATCTTTTGATTTTGCCTGTGTTTTGAGGCAACGGCAAAGAATGCCTCCACTGCCACCTGTGCCTGAGCTTCTTGGCGTGGCTGTCAGCTCTGCTGGTTGTTTTTTGTATGGTGCAGCACGCGAAAAACAGAACCCTGGTAAATTGCGGTAAATTGGAGGCTTCCCCTGTTTCCTTACTTGCAAACTTTAAGGGCATCCACCGTATTGCTGGTGCTGCTGGGAAGGCTCTCCCCCAACAGTTTGCCAATTATTTTGGGTATCATTTTGATCAAGTTAATCTGCAAGATGGAGCTTGGCTCAAGCAGGCATTGGTAGTTTGTAGAGGGAGTTGTTGTTTCTCCACATGACTGAACATGGACGGTAGGCTCTTTTAAAAGGTCACTTCCAAGAGGGTTATTCGGATGTGCTATTTGATCAATCGTTGACCCGCAAATCAAACATTGGGATTTCTGTTGAGACGCTCATATGAGTAGCATGTGTTTTCAGATGAAGGAGCCAAAAGGAGAGGGGAACTGCCTGCAATGGTGGTGGCATAGGCTAGTCCTCAGACCGCGTAGGCTCGCGTAGCCACTAGCAAAGGCAGCTTTAGATGACGGGCCGCGTAGCCTCCGCGTGGACCCGTTGTTTTGAACTAAAGGCTTATGTTATTTCATGTTGCAACCCTGCACGTTGCAACGAAAGAGGGTTTATTGGATGTGTCGAGCCGTCGAGGCCTGTTCAAGTCCACTTGCCCACATACCCGCCTTCACGGCAGTTCCATCATTGCTGCTACTACTACTGCTGCTACGACTACTACAACCACCACCACCACCACTGCTGCTGCTGCTGTTACTACTACTATTTCTACTACTACTACTACTACTACTACTACTACTACTACTACTACTACTACTACTACTACTACTACTACTAGCCCCCCACGTAGCCCCCGCCGCGTAGCCACGTTAGACAAATATGCTCCGCGCAGGTATATGCTTCCCCCGCACACTAAATCAAAACACTGCTCATATCTGCTTTAATTTTCGGAAGCTTTGCCGAGGCAATGAGATCAAGATCCGCAAGAAGAAGAACTGGTTGCAGTCCGATGGCTGCAATTTGACCATGCCCATGAGATCCAGGGGTACTTCTAAGTGGCAGGCTGCCTGGGATCTGGTGTTTGCCAAGTGGTTTTGCAGAAGCAAGGCGTTGACAGGTGCAACACGCCTTTGTTCGGATGTCAAACGGAGGGCTTATGGGCAGCTGCTCCCACCATGCAAGACCACCCAATAGCATATGTCCTTGCGGGGGGGGGGGGGAGGGACAAAGGAGCCGTTTCCAGTACAATGCAGCCTTTGCGATAGGCAAACCGTACAGGCAAAACAGCGCATCATTGCGCAACGCATGCAGGGTAAAGAAACTCCGGCAATTGTATGCATTTAGTGAGGCATTGTGCCAGGGAATTCAAAGAGTAGAATTATGTGCAACTGTCTATCCCGGGGCAGCCGTGCACAAGTCCAGGATCCATATACGTTGAAATGATGCATCGCCTTCAGGCAAATCCGTACCCAAGAGCTTTGGGGCAGCCCCTAACTATGACCTTATATGCTTCGCCTGTGATGTTGTGCGACGACACGGTGAACATGAGGTAGAAGATGGCTGCTCATACCGACATAGCCAAGAGCAAGTGGAACGTGCTAGAAAATGAGGCAACTGATAACGCAGCAGCACTGACCATAAAAAGGTCCTCTGAGCCAGCAAAAGCCGGTTGACACAAATGAGACTGCCTCTACGCGCTCGTCGAAATTCTGAACAGAATAGGATGAGTTCCTGGCTTCACAGGGTTGAGGTGGTGGCAATTGCAAATCCGCGATATATTTGTGTGGGTTGTCACATACTTCATGAGACTACACGCGTGGCTGTCCTTGTCAAAGTGGCCGGAGGAGGAGCAGGAACATGACCCGGGAATATACCACGCACATAGCTAAGGAGGCAGGCAAGTCAACTGCCGGCACCTTCGCAGCTCGCATCCTGAAACCGAAATGACTCGGGCGTGCCCCTTTGCATCCCTTACCAAGGCACAAGGGTGGCGAGAAGCAGGCTGAGAAGGTGCCGGATGTGCAGCATCTTGGATTGAAGGACCTTTGACTTTGCTGATGTGCGGGTCTCGCAGAACAGGAAAAACCCCAGAAGATGGTGGGTTTCCTTTTGGTTTCCCTTTAACGTAGTGCAAAGGGGAGAGAGTGCTGAGTCTCGCCAACTATATCCTGAAAGGTGCGGCCCAACACAAAATTCGGGCTTGCAGCCTAGTTGCTTGCTGTGATGCTTTGACCCCTGCGAAAGCTCAATGTGTCAGACAAAGCCTTCAAACAGATACATTTTAACCCTACACATACGGATTATCAAAATAGAACTTCTTCTAAGTTTCCTTTGGAAAGTTCTCAAAATTGGGGGGAGGTTGTTGGCGAAGTTGTGCTGCAACTTTTTCTGTGAAGTTATCAGCGGCTTGTGGACGCAATTTGGCCAGGCACAGAGCTTAGCATACTCGGTTGGTTCAGGATTGTCAAGCGTGCACTGGCCAATGCAGAGCATAGTCTTCAACAATTCATCCGGTTTGCATTTTCAATTCCTTGCAAGAAACGCCTTGCTCCGTCACCATGGTGTGTTCGCTTGGGGCTTACTCCCCGCACAGCCTTTTACTCGGATTCCATGCTCATTTGGAGGATCGTGTGGGCATTCTGCATGCGTAGCTGTCTGCTGAGGCATTCCTTGCAAATCCAGATGTTTGGGAAATCAAATCTGGCATTTCTTCCTTTGGAAGGTAGTTCTAAACGTTGAATTGTTTCCAATATTTTTTTAGTGGACGCCGGCTCAGGGCTTCGCAGATTGTGCGATCCACGCTGGGGCTCGGACCACCCCCCGGACTGGCAGCGTCAGGCCGGGGCAGCAAAGGCAAAGCGGCAAAGCGGCTCCCGTAACCCCTCCAGCTGGTTGTTTCCCTTTTTTATGTTGGAAGGAAGGGCTTCCGTTTCAAATCAAATGAAGCAGGCCCCAGACATCCAGTGAGGCCTTTTGATCTTGTTTTTGGAGGGGTTCCCGGAGACCATCGTTAGAATGAAACACCCAAAGCTGTCAAAATAGCGTGTCCTGTCATGTCAAGCCACGGAAAAGCTACTCGAATTTCCCGATGGCGACCGCAACAGAGTCTCATGGTCCTTTGGTCTCATCCGGAGGGTAGGAACCAGAGGAATTACCACCAAGATCTGGTCCTCCGGATTAATTAAGCCTTAGACATGAAGTCAGCAACGGCCTGAAAGAGTTTGGGCTCTGCTTGCCAAAGGCATGCGATCCTTTTTGCGTCCATTCGTTTGACGCGCAAGAATCGTGTTGTGCTGCTGCAATCTCTCACCAGTCGTCAGCTTTACCCCGCTCAGCTTGCCCTTTGTCCAGCAACACACTCTTACCTGTTCAGTGATGCATGTTTGGTCGATCCAGCTGAAACAAATGCTGCACAGTTGCGAGTTGAAAATCATAGTTGGCCCGCATAGCCGTGACGTTTAGTGATGTGGCCGTGCTCAAACCGCTACTCAGAAAATGAAAGCCAGAGCCGTTCTCGCCAAGCGCCACTCAGCCAAGGCCCTATGTGGATTGCCCCAGGCTGGATGCCCCGCGGGTCACACTCTCAATGTGAGACAAATGGAAAAGTTCTGTTTCAATTAGATTTGTGGTGGAAAGGTTGCCTTTGAAGGGTGACATGGGTGACGAATTGTCGGGGGGTTACGTGGGTGGCATGGTGACGCCGGAAGCAGGTTTCTTTTCCAGCCATTTTGTCGGTTGCATACTGGGGTCATCCCGTTTGCGACCTTTTGATTGAATACTTCGTCATGGTAGGTCTGCACGGGTCAGCGACTGAACATGGAACGAAGCGGTTTAGGATCTGGGATTTTCAGTGGGGCCTGCCTCCCGGCATGCCAATGGCTTTGGAACCGGCTGAAAGAGCCAAGACTCGGCTTTGTTTTGTGTCAGGATACCTTTCTGTTCCCAGTTTGGGATAAAGCAGGCATTCCTGTTTATCTCTGGGATCGCATGCCCCGAAACTTTGAATCAGGCATTGTTACAACCCGCTTGTCACCACTCTGGTGGAAACAAACGAGACTTCGAGGGCTTTGATTCCACCACGCTGGCAGGTGGCAACAAGTCAGCATTCCCAAAAAATCGGCTTAGCCATTTGCCGGCGGTATCGTGAGGCGACAGTGACCTGGGTGAGGGAGCACGTGGCACCTTGGCCTTGAAGGGCCCTGATGCCTTGGAAAGGGCCATGCGTCCCTGCAAGTGAACATAAAAGCCAAAACGGGGTTCAAGGAGACTCCTCTAAGCAGGATTTTTCGGGGCTCTATGTGAACCTGCAGGGGAGTAGTTCAGAACTGGGCCAACAGTTTTAGGGCACGCGCGTGTTTGGTTGGTTGTTTTGTCCTTGGGGGCACGTGTGTTTGTGCGCGGACGGGAGTTATGGTCGGCACATTTGGGAGCCTCACTGTGGGATGCCACTTGGCTTGTACTCGTTTCATTGGGTTTTTATGGTGCCCTGCAACCGGATATCTACAGCGTGCTTGCAACTCGGGAATTCCTCAATAAGACTCGAGTTCCCAGCGGCGCCTTGGGGTTTCTTTTTGGTCCATAAACTTGGCCGTAGCCGGCTTCAGCCTTCATCTGCAGGGGCACTTCAGCTTTAAGCTGACCTGGCCCCCTGCAGTGAATCTCCCCCTGCACTGATGGCAGGAAAACTTCTGCCCGGCATCTCTCAACATGGTGTGAGTGAAATGAACCTGGGTGTGCAAGCAACTGCCTCAGCAACATCACCAACACAAGCCCCGCAGTTAGAACAGGGGGGAAGAAGGGACGTTTGCATCACATCGAGCTTCTAGTAATACTGAATGGCAAGTCCGCGCTTCAAGCAGGTCAAGTTTTTTCCTTTCTCAACCCAATTCTGCCCTGTTTGGCTTTCTGCAAGGGCCTACTTGTAAAGGGCGTGCTTTGTTAGCCTGGCTGGGGCGGTTCCAGCCTCATCCCTGGGCCATTTATGCTGCGGCCTCCGTGCCATTCGCTGAGGTCCCAGCTATGTGGGGCCTGGAGACTTGGCGGCAATTGCAGTCAACCATAGGGCTCCCTGATGTTCAAGGACCCTTTGACAAAATTGCTGAACTGCTCAGTTACAGCCGCAGCAAGGATCACAAATCCCTCACATTCCACAGGAAGTTAGCATTGAGCCTCTCTCCTTTCGGGGGGAGAGGGTGATGAGGATTGGCGAACTTCCTGCAGACATTTCCCATGGCAAATGGCTGAGGCATCCAGGTCGGCAATGTGTCCCTTGCGTCCAGGCGTTGCTTCCCCAACGTGGGGGTAAGCCAGATAGCCTGAATGTGCGATCTGGCACAGACCTGGTCGCAAGGGCTGTTGCTTTTGGGATCCTTTCGCTTCCCCTTTAAGCTCCCAACATTGGTTTGCTGAGGTCCTGCTTGGTGCGAGATCCTTGGAGTGAGGTAGGTATGTTGGACAAATTCTGGTAGCCTTCCCACTGCCAGTCTAATATACTGACACATAATTCTCGCACGCTTATGATCATTACTGATTTGAGTTTTTAAGTTTCCCGCAGCCGCGTTCACGGAACCCAGGGTCTTTCAGAATCCTATGTACCCCTTTTTGGAGTGGTGGCAAAGAGAAACCAAAAGCGCACTAAGCTTTTTTGGAGTCCCCTTATGTTAAGACACGACCGTTTCGGCCCTTCAAGCTGACTGAGGAGAGGTGAGGCGAGAGCTGCAGGAGGGGCCACGTTTGTTCGACCTCGAACCGATCGTGCTTTTGGACCTACAAGGGTCCCAAACAAATTTTGGAGTCGGGATCAACCACTGCCCAACTACAGTCCGCCCGCTGCGTTCCATGCAAGCGACGAAGTGTGCGACACGCAAACTCTCGCTGGGCAAGTCTTAGCAGCTTTAGCAAAACAAGGCATGGCACGCATGGCTCGCATCCAATGCAGAGCGCGGGAACTGCGGCCCCCAGAAACGGCGCAAGCTGCCTGTTGGACATGGCTCCTGCGCCAGGTGAAGCACAATGTCATGGCGAAGCCGAGCAGCCAAAGCCTGTGTGCGCGTGCGTGTGCGTGGGCGCGGTTGACAGCAAGCGCGCTATTATGTTCCTCGTCTTCCCCCCTTCCCCTCCAGCCCAACAGCGGACACGCGAAGAAATGCTCTGTATATGTCAAAACGTGACATCCTGCGCATGTGCCGTATGTGTCAAAGCGTGACAACAGACGCCCTCAAAACGCCAGCAAGACATGTCAAGCAGTGATTCAACCACCCATGCCTCCAGTGCCGAATGTTGGAGGGGGGCCCTAAAGACCCACCACACAAAAGGCGCAACCGATCAGGTTTCAACCAGTGTCAACATGTTCCTTTCCTTTAACTTCCGTCTCACCTTGCAACATGGCGCCTGACAGGATAATCGCCAAGAGTCAAGGGGAATGTCCAGGTACACGCCCACACGTGCCTGCTGTGAGTGGCAGGAATTGTGCGACTCTGGATGTTTAGTGGAGCAACCCCTGGCGGTGAAATTACACGTGCGGTGTTGGCAACTTTGTTTTGTTGAAGCCCACCCCTCGTCACGATGAGGCCCAACTTAACTACAACGAAAAACGTTGCTTTTTTGCAATGCTGAAGCATATCGCATTTGTTGGGCGTGCTAAAGTGGCTGCGGACCAGTTTGCACTTTTGCTGCAGGACTTCCAAGACGGCCAGGCGCCTTGGGGTGCTCAGATGTGAGCGCGCTTCCTCGTGCGGACAGTTGCTTTGCTTGGGGGTTCCTGCACGGCCAGTTGCGTACTCACCACGTGCTGGACAATAAGTATTATGTGCTTTGCTCGGCAAAACCGTAGTTGCCCTTTAGGCAGAGAGCGCGGGTTGGTATTGCAACATAAAAGTAACCGAGCTTGGTCAGGGGTCAGCAAAACCTGCCGCAGCTTGCATTTTTCTTTCAGCTTGCTTCGAAAGCAGATCATGCAAACCCGACATGTTCCAGTGCAACTCCTCGTTCTTCGTTCTGTGTGAGCGTTCCCTTGGCTAAGGGGGTAAGAAGGCGCTTCGACAGGAAGTGCTTTGCCTAGCTCCCCGCTCATATGGTACCCACCAGAAGCCGCTCATGATCTCCAGCTAGGTCCCATGTTATGGGTCAGTGATTGTCTTTGGGCAGTTTGCACATTGCCTGTGTAATTGTAAAGCGAACACAGGGACTCCTGAAGACAGTCCCCGACTTCCGTTTCTGGACCCCGTCAAGTGGCAGTTTGACACCACAAAACTATACCAAGTTTGCGGGGGAAGTCCAATTGCTGCTGTCAGAGCATCCCACCTCCCACCAAGTATGGAGCTGGATAAGCTATCTCAGGTCGGACCCACTTGATGCACTCGCAGGGAGTTAACATGGTTTAACCTCCTCAATATCTAATGTGAGAGGGGTTCCAAAACCATTTCAGTGTTTTATAGGTGAAAGGATTGGTTGCTGATTTAAGCATCGTCTTGGGCATTTTAGGATCGAGGGCGATGGTTAAAGGGGGGATGCTTTTTTTGTGAGAACACCCCTTTACTTGCGGAAGGGATGGTAGTGGAATCCTTGGGAGTTTAGAAAACCGCTCACAGTAATATTGACCATGGCACACATTGAGTCCTGAATGGTAGCTGTCTTCATTTGACGCCGTTGTGGCAGGGCCTATCCGGGCTCATGACTCGTCGGCACCTAAGAATCCGAGAGGGTCTGGGCCTTGGGGCTTCCTATGGAACAAGTCCGTGGGTACCTTTTTATATCTACGGCAATCCACCCGCATGGAACCGAGCCTCCTTACGCATCAAGCAGGGTTCCCAGTATGTTTCTCCTTGACTCAACATCATGCCGCATAAAGAAGAATCACTCAGTTTGAATTGGCTGGGACACATGATACGGGAAGGGATTGAATCTTGGCAGTTGCGTCAGTTATGTCAGTTACGCCGTAGAAAGCAGATAGAATCATTGGCTACGGACTTCTATCACTTACCCATGGCTTCACTTGCTGCACATCCCCGAGGTGGCATTTTCGTGAGGGCAGTTCTTTGGCTTCCATGGCATCCCTCAGAATGGATTGGCAGCTGTCCTGACACCTTTGTCGCTGCCTTGTCAAGTTTGGCAGCCCAACTCGTGTCAACCAGCCCTTCTACAGTTTCTATTCGGCTGTACGGCTCGACTTTGCTTTCATTTTGGGTTTGGCAGCAGTTGTGATGCTGGCAGGCTTGTGCATATTATATGCATATGTTTCACCTATATGCATATATGTGTACCTTTTGCATTTATTGCCAGCTAAACATCTCAGCATCAAAGGACAAGCAGCAACACACAAACAGTTCCTTTGCCTTCCTGTGATGCTGGTGCAGAGGATGAGCGGGGTGGGAAGCAGAATCCCCAAATCAGCTTGCCCTGTGAGTCTTGAAGCAATGCGCGTTCTTTTGTGGCCTACATAGCTTTGTTTCTCAAAAGGGACCAGAACGGGGATGGTTTTGGTCACGGGCCGCAGCCCGTTAGCTTGATTCAGCCCCTGCAGCGTGGGCGTGCCAGGGGCAGGCGAGATCGAATTTGGCCGTGATTATCTTCAGGCAGGTCTGCAACATAGACCAAGGGCGCAATGGTAGCACAGCTGCGTGTGGATTTGGCGACTCGGTTTTGGTTGTGGGTTTTGGAGTATGCCCTTTTTTCCCTGGATTCAAGGGACACTGAAACGAAAAGCACATTGTTTGGGGACCTATGTTGACGCATACCCTTTCCAAGTACCTATCTCCAGGCTTCTTGGATGTCGCCGGACATGATGCTCCACACAATATTTTGCCGAAGGGCGACTAATGCACAGGAGCCGCCACATGGGTTTAAGCTGTCCTGAAGCTGCAAAACGATAGTCAAGGGGCCTTTGTCAGCTTGCAGCTGTCAAGCATAAAGTGTGTGGTGCTGAGACATGACTCTGTGAACAAGTGACATGAACACGGCAAGCAAATGTGATGATGCATGCAAAGCGTCCGCAAAAGCAAGCAGCGCTGTACGAGACCATTGGGCCATAGTAGGCCTATTTAGCTAATGTTTAGTGATAGTGGTGGCACCCTTTGTCGCTTTCTCTTTGGTGGTCTTTCACTAAACATTGTCTTGCCCACAACTCAAGGAAGGGTTCCTTTTTTTCCGACCTGTGTGAACTGGAAACACGGCCTTCCAGTCAAGGTTGCTTCCACAATACTAAGTTCTTCCTTTGGTATCGAGTCAAAATAGCCCCTCCACTGGGGTTGTTTCCAGTTGGCTTCCCTTTGCAACCCTGACAAAGGGAATCAAAGAAAAGCTCGGACTTGCAAGGATTGTGTGTGTGTGTGTGTCACACTGTGTGCTTGCTTGTCTATCTTGCCCCAGATTAATTGTTTGCAGAACACCGTGAACGGGTACAAGTCACTCTTCAAGTCAGCGCACACGCGCGCACACGTGCGCACGCACACACACACACACCCACACACACACACCAAACACACACACAGACACACACACACACAGACACACACACACACACACACACACACACACACACACACACACAAACACACACACACACACACGCACACGCACACGCACACGCACACGCACACGCACACGCACACGCACACCACACACGCACGCACACGCACACGCACACACGCACACGCACACGCACACGCACACGCACACGCACACAAACACGACATACACAGCCTTGTGTGTTATCCGTGTGTTGCACGCATGTTATATACCATGCACACACACGACAACACCACACACACACACACACACACACACACACACCACACCCCACACCACAGCAACACACACACACACACACACACTGCCACCACGCAGCACACACACCACACACACACACACACACACACGCACACACGCACACACACACACACACCCACACACACACACACACACACACACACACGCACACACGCACACACACACACACACACACACACGCACCAACGCACGCACCAACGCACGCACCAACGCACGCACAAACGCACGCACCAACGCACACACCAACGCACACACCAACGCACACACCAACGCACACACCAACGCACACACACCAACGCGCACACACCAACGCGCACACACCAACGCGCACACACCAACGCGCACACACCAACGCGCAGACACCAACGCGCAGACACCAACGCGCACACACCAACGCGCACACACCAACGCGCACACACCAACGCGCACACACCAACGCGCACACACCAACGCGCACACACCAACGCGCACACACCAACGCGCACACACCAACGCGCACACACCAACGCACACACACCAACGCACACACACCAACGCACACACACCAACGCACACACACCAACGCACACACACCAACGCACACACACCAACGCACACACCAACGCACACACCAACGCACACACCAACGCACACACCAACGCACACGCCAACGCACACGCACACACACACACACACACACACACACACACACACACACACACACACACACGCGCACACACACACACACACGCACGCACGCACGCACGCACGCACGCACGCACGCACGCACGCACGCACGCGCACGCGCACGCGCACGCGCACGCGCACGCGCACGCGCACGCGCACGCGCCCCCACACCCACAGACACACACACACACACAGACACACACACACACACACAGACACTCGCCCACACTCCCGCACAGCCACACGCACGCACGTGCCCGCCTACCCCACCCACCCACCCACCCACCCACCCACACACACAAGCACCCCCACACACCCCCACCCTCTCCACACCCACGGGCACACACACGCACTAACACGCACCACCACACCATCACGCACCACCGCACACCGTCACACACCATCAAACAGCCACAAACAAAACACACACACACACACACACGCACGAACAAAAAACAGCCACAGAAACAGACACACACACACACACACTCCCAAGCATAGCATGGCAGGCACTCTTTTCTGACGACGCCGTGACTGACGGCCGAGTGTCTGGGCAGCACGGTTCAGTGGAGTCGGTGTTGGAGTCATCTTTGGTGGCTGGTGCTCATGTGTGTTTTGGAGGGTACCCTTTCATTGCGTCTTGCATTCCCCGTTGAAAACATGGAAATGTGTGCGCTAGGCAGATTTGCTGACATCTTGAGTGATGTGTTTGGATTCGGTTTCACCAGTTGATTTGGCGAGTAGCTGCGACAATCCCTGGAACCTGACGGGGGCTAGCGGTAAATTGGGGGGCTTCCTCGGCTTCCATGCCGTTTTCAAAGTTCAAATAGAGCAAACAGTACCGCAAAACCGATCAGGGTAGTATGGTTTTGGCACGGTCCACGGTTGCATTGGACCTCATTAGTCACAGTTGCCGCCGGCACAGCGTTCCGCCGCTTCACGTTACCCAGCCACGGACACGTGAATTGACACGTGCTTTGCTCGTCTGCAAGCTTCGGGGGATTTTGGGCTTGTACCACGTGCCGTGCTGTCCTGGTAGAAGGGTTTCGGCGTGCTGTGTCCACGGTGAGGCACACACGTGGCGTTGCTGAGGTGCCATGGCCACCTACACCGCTGCCTTCCCGTGGCTCTGCCAAGCACAGTGCCGGAGAGTGCAGGCGGCAAGCGTCAGACACACTCAGCATGAGCTTGGGCCAAGCCAAAGCGTGTCAGTCAGGGCGCTCTAACTTTTTGTGCAGTATGCCGCAGTATGCCATGTCTGGCTTTTGCGTGTGCGTGTGTGTTTGTGTGTTGTCTGGGTTCCTTACCCCTGGCAAGGCCATGCGCGTGGTTTTGGAAGAAGGGCTGCCTGAATGGAGAGCTTTGCCAGCATTGTCATCTTTGCCCGGAAGGCGAAATTCGTCGCAAGAAGAAGGCGGGTTGGTTGGAGGGCAAGACTTACTCTCCAGGTTCTTGATTACGTGTTTTTCAGGAAGATCGTTGAAATTAGTCGTATGCAAACCGCCCACACAACAATGAACCGGATTGATAGCTGACGACTAGGGAACAAATCTGCCGATTATTGTAAAGCTCGGTTTTGAGACAGTTGTGTTGGCCACACACGCGTGCTGCTTTTTCTTGCGAGCCTATCAAGAAACTGTGTTTCCTTTGACGCATGCATTCTCATGCACAGAGTTGCCTCAAAAACAGCTAATTGGCGGGACGGCCTGGATGCACATGTGTGGCATGATATCCAATGACGCCGACGGAAATGCGTTGCTTGAGTTTGGATGGGTTGCGCCGCACGGCTCGTGGTTCAGAGTGGCTCGTGTCACAGTTGTTGTAAGAGTATTTTGGCGATTTTGGCCTGCGAGACTGGGTAATGTCAACTTTAAATTACTCCACGAAACGCTGACCAGCTGAAAGTGGAGAATCAAATCATGTTTGCAGGATTCCTCGGATCGGCATGGTCCTCCAGACTATCCTAAAGCGTCAATTTGCCCGTTGGAAGCTTCAAGTTCAAGCCATTTTTTCGAGTAGCGATGCAATGGAATGGATTTATTGAAAGCAGGAATAGGTTGAATAGAGGTTGATCACAGAGAGCACATACGTCACTCCAGATTTCTCACTTCTTCCATTCAGCAAAATGTTCGAAGCATCGTCAGCTTAGTTCTGTGAATGGGGCGAAGCAAAGCAGGTGTGGATTTGTTTTCACATGATACCAGTCTCACGGCGGTACTTATTTAGTTGCCAAATGCCAAGCCTTTTGTTGAAAGGTTTCTTCATTGTTTTTGCCAAGGCCAATACATTTGTCCAACCAGCCAGCTCATCATACACTGGAGACTTGCATCTGCATGAGCCAAAACAAGTCAAATTCTTGAGACATGCACTTTACACAGGACCGCTTTGAAAGACTCAGTTTCCTTCATGGCCTGGGAGCTTCCAGAGAACGGCATAATGGTACTCAGGGTGTGGCTATCCTGACCATGGTCTAACAACCATGGGTGAAATTGGGTAAAGGGGCAAATGGAACCAGTGCAAGGCTGCTTTCGGGTTGGATCTTCGGCCTTTGACTTTGCGTGTGTTTCCCACTAACCAACGTACGCATTGCCATGTTGCTCGCCTTGCCTTGGATTTTTGCGCAGGCCAAGAATGAGGGGCGGGACAAGTACAACATTGACATGCCTTTGAGGCTCGGGAGCCGGCGTGTGAAGACCATGATGGCAGGGAAACTGTTTGAGTAGGGTGAGCACCCCGGGTGAGCACGGGTGAGCACCCAGAGAACTGTTTGAGTAGGGGGTCGTGTGGCTTAGGGGGTTGTCCCGAAAGCCTCGAAGAGGCTTTGCTTGAGGTTTGTCCGCGGGGGTGGGAAGGTTGGTGTGTGTGAGTGGGTGGGCACAAAGAACCCGTTTCCCAAGTCCGCCTTAGAATCTGGACAAATGCCGGTGGTTCAGTAGATTTCAGTAGAGGGTCCACGGATGCATGTTGCATACTTTTGAACAACGGCAGAGGGCTCGATTCCTGCCCATCCGGGCATGACTGGTTTGCCACGTGCTGCGGTTACACCTTGCCATCACATTGCCGGGAGGCATGCCTTGCCATTTGTTTACACCTGCTGCCGCTAATACGTACAAACGGGACTTGTCCAGAACAACTTGTCCAGAACAGGCTAGTCCTCCCTCAAGTAGATGATTTGGTAAGGCATTTCAACCTCATAAACCTTGGTGTAGAACCAACAGTCAATAGTCGGGTGAGCTTAAGTGGGTTGCTTTAAATGAGGAAACCTCGCCGAGTGGGTGGTTTGCCATTTGGTTTCTGTTGAAAGCAACCTCAGAAAGGGTACCAACTCCACAAAAAATACTCACTCCAAGTTTTCCTTATGGGGCAGGAGAACGTGTGACAGTACGACCCTGTCTCAGCTTGTGCGTTAGCCAGCGAAATGAGTTGTTACTCTTTGCGCATGCTGCTGGCTGGCACAGGCGTTGTGAAGCAAAATCCTATGTCGGGCAATGTGTAAAGCACCTCGTTGGATGTGAAAGGAAGTTGCTGCAAGCGCAGGCCGGCCAATAGCTTCGATCAAGGGCTGCTCAGCTGCACAGCCGTGGGAGACGAGGAAGCCCTGTCGTGCATGGGCTAGTGATAGGATATTGGAAGCGTCAGTTGCTTCAACCCAGACCTCCAGTGCTCTTATTGTTTCTCCGGTTATTTTTCCAGAATCAGCCAGCCCAGCGAAGGGTGTCCTGTTTTCCGCTGGCCACTGTAGGTGAGGTTAAAGATGCAGTCTGTGCAAGTGTTCCAGCAGTCGGCAGAAACAGATTCAGATAAGCGCCTTGTTTCCCCGCTCGAGCAAACATGTCTAGAAGATTCTAGAAGTGGACATATCAGCATCCACACTGCAGCCGCGGGAGGTTTGCGGAAGGTGTTTTTGCCACGGAAGCTCGCGGAAGGGACGTGGTGAATTTACTCTTTCCAGAACTACATTTGCCCTTACCACAACTACTACCAAATCGTGCACCTTGCGGAAGCTACCTTCCTCAGAATCCCAGAAACAACTTGCCCAGGGAAGCAAATATGTCATAATTATGTAGAAGCTTGCTCGCGGAAGGCACCCTTCACACCGCGGAAGCTTTGCGGAAGGATATTTAAAGGGAAAAACAACCACCACTCAGATGGCACAAGCCAGGGATTCCCGTTGATTTTCTCAAGTTGGGTTGGTCATCCCCTATACAAACATAAAGGGAGACGTGCGTAGCTGCGCAATATGTGTGTTCTGCTTGTTTTGCTCGCTGACTTCAGGTGCTCAGTTTGGAAGCTGCCGGCCACCTGGCCCAAGCTGGCAGGGACAACGTCGATTGGATGGTCAACCCACTTCGCAGGTGATTTACTCCCAAAATGGGCCTGCGGCGAAAGCAGACTCCTCAACAAGTTACTTACGGCTTGTTGGGTTCCATGTTGAGCAAGGGGGTATAACTATTGGGCAGACCTTGTTGAAGCAACCAGCCCCTGGTCAACGAAAAAGGGAAATCGCAAAGATGTTGTTAGAGCCAATAGCTGCTTGGCTTGGACATGTTGAAGCAAGGGGGTGGCCCAGCCATGCTCATAACAATGGTCATGAGTGGGGTTATTGAGGTTCCATAACAGCCGTGGCAACGGCGTGCCAAGTGGGTTGAACATTCAAGCAGAGCGCTGTTTGGGCGATTTTGAAGTAATTGTTTATTCCCTCAGCCCCGAGCCAGTGGGTTCGGGTTCTCCGGCAGTGCCTCATTCGGGAATGGCCCGCAAAGAGTGAAGGTTAGTCTTTGAAATGCAATACCCTAGTCAACCAGAGGTTGCCAGATCCTGGCTTTCATATGTTCGCCCAAACAGGTTCTAATTATGTTCCTGGCTTTCTGGTTCCTGAACTCACGATGGCGAGCCATGTTTAAAGTGTCCTTACCCTGCAGGCTAACGCACCACCAGCCCCTGGCAGGGCAATAGAGTCTTGTTTTTGGGAGGGACTCCCTGTTTGGGTTTCATGGGGGGTCATGATGGATCATGCAGTTTGTTGAGGGCCCCATGACAATTTGAGGGACAGCCTTTCGGGCTTCATGGGTTTCCTTGGCCCAGGGTTTGGTCTTACACCATGTAAGTAGATGTCACAGTTTCCTTGGAATAAAGGAATTGACGACGTCCAAATGTTGGAAATATGCTATCCTTGATCCGGATTTCCCAAGGATGCCGCTGCCTCCTCCACGCATCTTGGCTAAGGATGTTTCAGCCGGGCCAAAACTTGGAAACAGCGGCTAAGGGCTGATTGTTCGGACATGGGTCACAAAACTCGTATGCGACCCACAAGTGTTTTTCAAAGGGTAGCGGGTTCATACATTCAAAACTTTTAATGTCGATACGGTGGCTTTGACAACGAGTCTTTGCGCTCGCTGTAAAGGAGTTGTGCCTTTGTTCATTTTGCGGGCAGTCTGGTGTGCAAAGCGATGTGCAGCCCCTTTAAGAGTAACAAGTAATTTTGCCCATGGCTTTCGACTGACACGGGAGCTATAAAACCTAGCACGTACCTAGAAATCCTCAACGCGAAAATGGTTTTTACCCCACTTGCCCAGGGAAGCCTGCCCCGTCATACCTGCGTAGTGGTCTTCAATCCTTGGCTAGCTGTTTCAAAAGAGATGGCGGCAGCGTCGAAGCTTCTGATCCAGTGATGACACCAATGCCAGCACTGCGTTACTCTGGCATTCGTTCTGTTCCAGAATGAAAAGAACACAATCTCTCCACACTGTGCGCGTTTATCTGACTTCACTAGATGTGCGCGCAACACCCGCTGGCACGCGGCACTGCTCTTTGTTTTGAGCAGGCCGCTTGTTGACTGTCTTTTTCGTGTGTGCCGCTCTTGCCTTCTTTGCATGCTCTGCACTTTTGCGAGCACGTGCGCCTCGGTTGCTAGCACCTACTCTGAACGCCCGCAGTCTTTAGATCCCTTTTGCTGCAGAATAATTGCACCCATCTAGGCAGGCTAGGCACTTCATTGCGTGTGGCATTTGAACCCAAAACTGTCAAAGGATGAAAGCTTCCTCAAAATGACTGCAAAACGAAGTTGCAGGAGGGTCCGAAACATGAACATGGCAACATGCGACCCAAACACACTGGAGTTTGCAGCGCGTGCAAGCATGTTCAATATTTTTTGTGGGTTTCTGTGGGCTTGCTGTGCTCTAAACACCTCATCGCATTCATACTATTCGTTTTGCTCAGCAAGATGGCAGCAGTACGTTCACTTCAGCATACTGTGGAACAGCTTGCGCGCATTCAGCTTGACCCGGGAAACTTGTTGAGGTCCTTACACTTCGGTGGTTCAGACAGTACTGTTGGCTGCTCACGTTGATTGCGTTTTTTTGTGCCACGCTGATGTCTAAAGGGGGACACGAGGAACGCGTGTTCGTGTGTTTGTGTGCGCATGATGTGTATTATTGCGTTGTGGTGTGCTGTGCTGTTCTGTGTCGTCCTAGGTGAGTGAAACATGTGTTCCTAAGTAAGTGCTCTGCCGGCGTGTGTGTGTGTGTGTGTGTTTCTTTGTTTCTTGTTTGTTTGCTTGTTTGCTGGCTGCCTTTTTGTGTGGTGGTGATACTCTTTGCGGCTCAGGATCTTCGATCTGCCCTTTGGCCACGGGCCTGGCCTGCGGATTGTTTCTCGGATGCATGCCATGCATGCCCCCCGGAAGCTTCTCGCGAACATCGCGCAAAATCCGTCGGCTGTGGGTCTATGTCTTATTTTGGTTGTTGGAATTCTTGTGGAAGTTGCAGATGTGATGCATGCTGGTCAAACCTGGGATGTGTGATGAGTTAGAAGCGTGGGCGTCCTTTTGGGCCAGTTTGGTCGAAAATCGCTGAATTCTGCTGGTTTCAGTGTGCTCTCCCGAACGCACACCAAATTTATGTGTTTATGTTTTCTTTCTTTTGGGCAGATCAATAGTTTACGGGAGCCCTGTCCACGTGCTTGTCGCAGGAAGGGTTTGTCCAGTTGCAGGTCGGGAAGGAAGCACCAAGCGGGAGGTATGGCAGACCTTCATTCCACCTCATGGCCGATTTAGTATTTTCGACTAACTGGTTTAACGGCGGATCCACATTTAAACGTTCTGACCATCCTGGTAGGACCAAAATTGAGCGGGTTTTTTTGAAGTGTTAGAATGTATCGATTCAGTCAGGGAGACCCTGTTTTTCCGACCCCCCAGGTGTTGTTTGACTCTTTGTTTGCGTCTTGGGGTGGGGTGAAAGACACAAGTTGGGGTTGACAAACAGCGCCCACATTCAGCCAGCAAGTCTGTAACTTACACACCCTCACTCAGTCAGTCGTTCGTTCTTTCAGCTTTGCATCTGCACGTTCAAGCATAGTTCCCCTGCGCGTACGTGGAAAGAGTGACCCATGGCTGACACTGAAAGGTGCATCGCAACCTTGGCACCCCTGCTGGCATCACTTTGGCAACATGCAGGTTGTGCAGAGCTGTTTTGCATGCTGAGGATCGACCAACTTTCTCAATAGCCGATGCTGCCAGTGCAGTTTGAGGTAGCACGGGCTGCTGCTTTCATTCCAGCCATCGAGAAAGCACACGACTTCTCATGGCAGCTTGCGCCCTGGCTGAATGTTCATAGTTGGGCTGGGCAATCTGTCGCAGGAGTGTCAATTGGCCATGCCCTAAGGTACAGCAGTTATCAGCTCTTAGCGCATACGCAGATCCAAGCTTGCCGCAGCCTTAGGATTCAGTTCTGTGACTCTGTGAATCATTGCCATCCTGTGCACATCACATGGCAATGTGTTTGACTTGCTTGCCGATCATACTTCCCCTTGCAGATAGTGCTACAAAAAGAGGCAACATGGGTCCACGGCAGCAAGTATAAGTGTGCTGTTTCCTTGGGATTGCTGCCGGAGCCTTGGCAGCGGCCCAAAGCATGAGTATTTGGGAGCTGGTTGCGATGTGACAGAGTTATGCTAGGAGTTGTTGGGAGTGGCCTGATAAGATATCACTTGAAGCTGCAGTTTGTCCATGGTAGGGACCACCCCTTCCCCCAAACTCCCCAGAAGTGTTCTCAGCCCCCCTCGATCAGAACCCCAGCAAAGGATGCAAGGAGGCCTTTGGTTTCCTCCATGCCTAGACATTCAGGATTGCTACGCTAGGGGGCTAAATTCCAGGGCAACATATCCCACTTAATCCCGCTAGCCTCCAGACTGCCTGAATAGGCTTTCATCCTGAATCCTGAGTGGGCCCGCTTTAGTTGCGTAGGCCGACATTTGGCCCTGTCAGCTTCAGGGCAGTACTGGTGCACCAGCCACAAGTGCATGGTTTTTGCCCGCGTCGCCATTATCAAGCTGCTTGGCCTGGATTCGGGATAGGAAGTGGAGTTTCTCCCTCCCAAGCAAACTTGACCTTGCTCGTAATGTGGTAGAGTGATTTGAAAGGGACCCCCCGAAATAAATATCGGGGTCAATAGGGAGAACATAAAAGCAATTGGGGGTCAGAGTTTTTAGAATTGTTTGAGCATTGCTTTGCGCTCGTCTAGTACTGCGTAGCATTGGTTTAGAGCTGGTCTAGTATTGTTTTGGTATTGTTTGTGCTCGTCCAGTACAGTGTGGCGTCAAAGCAACCTTTTTGCATATTGTCCCCTTTATTTCTTAGGGTGGGGAATATATGTTGGGGATATTTGTTCTGCATAAAATTGCCTCCCCACTAAATAAATGCTACCTACCCGACATTAGTTCTCTGTGTGACAAGGCCGGGTGCGAGCAATAGCAACCATAGTCTTCAATGTGCCAAAAGGGAAACCCAAGCGGGGATGGGGATTTGTACTTTGTTTTTCAGACTACATGGCACCCGGGGAATTGATGTGCTCCAATGGTTCAGAGTCGACTCGGTTAAGGAGGCCTTGACTGGACCCCATGCCAGTCTCTGTTGATCAGTAGGCACTCGGCTGCCTTGTGGCTCCCCTTGCGAGTCAGATCTACGTTGCAAGCTGGCACCAGGGTCAGAAATGGCTTCGTTGTTGTCTCTTTTGGGTTTGCCACTGCCCCAGTTTGTGATTTGTCCGTTGAGAAAGCCTTGAGCACAACCCACAGGTTCGGAGTTGCGGTTCGGACTTGAGGAGATGGCGGCGACAGGCAGCCGAGGTGCCGATGTGTGAGGCAGCCACAATCAAAACCGGTATGGGGACGACGAGACAGGTCCATCACGGGACGTCGACCAAACAAACATGTGACGCGCATGGATTCAAAAGGGGTACCCTCTTGATTCTTGACATTTTAGGTCGGCAAATGCTCTTTGCGTTGATGGTTTCAGAAACAATTCAAGTGCGACAATGACACGTGATGACGTGGTGTAGCCTCACCAATCATGGAGAAAGCAGCGTGCCTTCAACGGCGATCTACATACCGGATTTGGTGGCACTGACCATTTGTTGTGTGGCCCAGATGCCACCTCCTTCCGCGGAATCTGCACAGCCGGGGGAACCGAGAGCGGGTTCCTAAAGCGGCGTGAACGCCCAATCCAGATATATTCAAGGTCCGTTTGTTTGTTTCAGGGGATGGCTATTGCCAGAGAAAAGGGCTTTGACACCATGTGCCGGGACGCGCACCAAGAGAGTCCCTTTTAACTGGGGCATGAACCCATATGGGTCTTACGGGCTTACCTGTCTTGTATTTGCTTTAGCATCCAGCCGGTGAAACAGAACGAATTGTTTGAGCTTGTCACTTTGGTATGAACATACAGCCGCCATCAAGACGCAGAATGGGATGTGGTCAAAGACTCTCCAAAGGAAAGGTGAACTTTTGTCCCATGTCCACTGCGGGTTTGTGGGTCTTGGAGGCTGGGAACATGGATGGGAACAGCTTGTCATTGAGGCTTGTTTAGGCTTGGCTGGAGTTGTTTTTTCAGTGCCACCCCGGTGATTCGAATCCCAATCCGTTCCTCCGGCCTGTCGCATAGATTGCATAGAGACTTCTGACAGGGCTTTTGGCAGGGCCTGGTCAGAAAGCAAGTCACGGCTGCTTTGCAAAGAGAGAAACAAGCAGCCGTTATGCGCCGGGTCACGGTTAATTAGACTTGAAGTCTGGAGCAAATGCTAAACTGACTGACTATTGCTGCCCTGGTCCAACGTTGCCAGGGCGACGGAGAAGCAGAAAGAAGCAGGGACTGGCAAGCAGCAGGGACGTCTTGGGGATGACTCACCAATCTGCCCCCGTTTCTGCTCTTACCCAGTCTCCGCTTCCTTGGTTGCCCCATTTGGCGTCATGCGCTCCAGACTGCGGCACGTACAGGAGGGTGACCCATTAGAGCTTAGTGCATCGGGTGCAACACAACACGGCTCGGCAGGTCTGACAACGCCGAACGCTCGGATTTTGAAGCGCAGGAACAGCGCATTCGTGCTGGCGTAAATCGGTCATGTTTTGGGGTTTGCCAGATGAGGTTTGTTAATCCCCTTTCCACATGGACTGATTTGTATGGTCCCTTGGTATAATTTGGCGGCATTTGCAATCCCTCGACATATCGAGGTATAATTTTGTTCCATGGCGATTTGGTGAATGAGAAGCCTCAGATGGCGTCTGGCCTTTGCTCTGGGGGTAGCTTCCCATTCTTCTCTGGGATTCTCTTTCCCAAATGCAAAAGCAAAAGCAAGAACCCAAGAAATGGCTGCTGGTTTCTCTGAGCAAAAGAATGGGGAATGAACCCCTAGATGTGCGCTGCTTCCCTCTTGACATCGATTGCTGGCATGGCTTCACAGAGCCACAGAAATGGAGCTTCCGATACGGTTCGGACTCTGAGCCTCTGAGCTGGTTCACGGACAGGACTCAGGTCCTTCACAGAAAAATGGCCGCGTCGGGGGGAGATTGGCCACACAAAACTGATGGAGGGCACTGATTCTGCATTGAGAGCTTGGCTTTGGCCCTTTTGAGATCCCGACTCGTTTCAACGGCAGCAAGAAAAGTTGCCAAGATAAAGCCGACCGTGCCGAGTTTGCGCTTGCAGAGGCTGCTCGTTCTGCGGGCGTCGCCTCAGTTTTACAACGTACATGGTCCTAATTGCCGCTTCCAGCTCGCTAATGATCTCGTCATGGCATGCTGGTCCAGCAAAATGCGCAAAATGCCCTGAACCACGGTGCGGGCACCTCCATGCACAGACCCTAGGATTCAGGCAAGACACTGCGTGATGCATGACAAGACATGTGACACCTTGCAGCAATGTCTTAGAAAAGCCAGGCAATCCGGGCTGTGCAGGCTGCACAGTTTCCTCATTCTGTCGGCTCGTGCTCGAAATCTTGAGCTCTATGCCACTGTAGCCTCAAGGTTCCTCGAGGAAATGGAACGGAGTGCATGGCAATCCCAATCCCACATCTCCACGTCACCATCCAGCATGCTGATTGAAGATTGGATTCAATTTTGAAGTCTGACCATTTGAAGCTTACGTGGAAGTGTAAGCTATAAATGGGTATGTGTCCAAATTGGGCGGCCCCCAAATGTTTCTCCCTTTGATTTTCCTCTAAACCAGGGTGAAAGGGCATTCTCAAACTATGCACCCACTACACAGCCATATACAAGCACATGTCATGTGACAATTTGACATGGTGTTTATACCTGCCATCCTTTGACCACCTGCTTGTGGTTGGGCAGCTTGCGGGGGCGATATTTTGTGTGACATGAACCTCCGCTTTCCTGGGCACCTGTGCAAAGAGATCCAACACGTGGAATCAACTGTTTTGTGAATTAGAACCCAGAATTACGGACAATCTCGAATCGTGCTGGATGGGAGGGCACAAGTTCTGGGTGTTGGCGGCGGGCACCCGTCCCGTCGGGTGAGGCTCTCCATTCCTAGCCGCGGAGGAAATGCATTACTGGCCGACGCGAATCGGCTCAGAGCAGATAAAGGTCCCTTACTTTGGGATTCTAGCAATTTGCCGTATTTGCCCAGGATTGTTTGCTTTTCTACGGGTCCTTGAGCTTGGTCGGCGTCCCACAGCTGTTTGTTCTCGTTTCAGGCACTTGGACATGTTTGCCCTCAGACGAGTAGGATCTAAAGTGAGAGGGCACTTCTGGACAGGTGGCACTTGTTGTGCGGTACAAGCACCTGGGTGGCATGCTGGCCATGGTTCCTTTGCGTGATTTAAACATCACCTGTTGGGCCAAGTCGAGATGACATTCCTTTCAAGGAAACATGCTCTAAATCAAATGAGTGAAGGGGTCCCATCCGAGTGGGTCCCATTTGGTCCCTCTGACTTTTGACGGGGTGGCAACAAATGGGACATACTGTGGATGGACCAAATCCAATTTGTACCAGTTGGGATTAATACAAAAGCTGGGGCTAGCACGGACGCTTGCCACCGAAAGGGGAGGGGGGGCTTGGGCGTTGTCAGGATCAATCGCCTCGAGAATGACCTCTCGCTTAAGCAGGGCGCCGGCACTGTTGAGGCAGGTGTGGGCTCTGTTCTTTGAGGAAGGCTTGCGCTCCAGGAACTCCGGATGAACATGGAACGAAAAAGCCATCATAGAGGAACTTCTGTTGGGGAAAGGAAAACCCACA